ATCCACAAAATTATGAGATCGGCATGAAAGGAGCAACCGTCAAATGTTTTCATCTTTAAGAGTTGAACTAGGAGACGAACAGGGTCCATTTCTTCGTACCATACAGCGAGAACAAGAGTGATTGTGTGCAAAAAAAATTTTAGGGATTTTTGATAAAAGGAAGAAGAAGAATCGTGCCAAACCAAAGTGGCGAAATCTCGTGCGTCTCATAGACGATCAATAGAGAATAAAAGGAAGAAGAGGAAGGGTCGCGGGTTAAACCCTAGTCAAGTCGAGCGAAGAGATCAAACACTTATATGGGATTAGAAGTGCCGCCATCCTGTGTGGGTTCTTGCGAAAGACAAATCCAAAGCAGAAGGAGAAGAATAGTTGAGTTGTGGCCTTTCTATGCAAGAGAAGGGGAAGAATTGAACGCCTCTAGTGCAGTTTCGAGCAGAAGAGAAATCTCGAGCATACTGTTCAGATTCGAACCGATCTCAAAGGAAGAAGGGAGGCATATCGTGTGGATGCGGAATTAAGGAGAAGGTGAGGCTTCGTGCAAAAAATTAGGTGAAGGGAGTGGCTTTGCTTGCAGAGGTTCAAGTAGAGAAGCATAAGACCGAACCTTGAAGTCGAGTGAGATGCATGCAAGTTAAGGGAGGACCGAAAGAAGTTTATCATGACCCGACCCGGGGATTGGAATGAACCAAAACAGGATTAGACGGTTGAAAGATGAAAACTAAATTTTCTTTATTCAGTTACTATTAAAGAGAAGAAAAACCCACTAATCAAATTAATTTAAAATAGTAAAATGAAATTTACTTCCTTACAGATTATCTTCGTCTTCCAAAAATATTTTCACTTCTATCACTCATTCTTTAATAACTTAATTAATCTGAAATTTTTTTTTAAAAAAATGGTGAGCTAAAAAAATCAGTAAATACACATACTCATAAACTACAATAATACAAGGGAAAAGAAAACAATATGCATGTCAGTTAAACTTTTAATAAATCATTATAAATATTTTAGATGTTATTCAATGAGTCTTACTATATAAATAGAATAACAATATTATTTTGTCTCTACAACTATCATAAGAGCAGCGTCTAAAAACAAAACCACCTAAGCTACTTCAATATCAATATTAATTTCCATATATGTGCACGGGTACCTTAGTTTTTTCGTACTAGTATCTTCAAGGGGTGACTCTTTCAAAGCCAAGTATTCAGACGTATTATAAAAATATTACATCTTTAATAATAAATATTGCATTCTCATTTAGTAGTCAATATTATTATACAAGAGCCAGTGATAATTGAAACAAAACTGAGCACAGGTCATTTTACAATATGAACAAAATTCAGTAAAGTCATAAATCATGTGTATGTGGGACCATAACAAATGCAATAAATGCATTTAATCGAGAAGAAGCAAAATATTATCATAATATAAGAGCATGAGTATTCACATCAATGCCCATTAATTTGATATTTCGTTTTTCTTGACATCAATTATTTTAAATTGGAAATCTAACATAAACAAGATACTTATATTACCAAACTTTAATTTATTTATAATATTTATAAATTTAATAATTTGTATTAGTTATTACATTACGTTATTTAAGTATTAAATTTTATTATTTACTTTGTGTAATTATGCTTATGTTTCCATTCAATGAAAATATATATTATATTATTATTATTATCATCATCATCACTTAATAAAAAACCACCCATACCCCTTTCTGCCACACGAAGGATCTCCCTCTATCTTCCTTGACGACGAGCTAGGAAACGGTCGAACACACCAGAGAATATCGCACGATGCTCCTCCCCTCTTCTCTGCATGAAGCTTCTCTTCTCAGCGCATCTTCCTTCACAGAACAGTGAACTCCTTCCTCCCTCCCGAAGTCAGCTCGGTCTTCTTCCTTCGCATGATTCACTCATCGTCCTCTCTGTCTTCACAGAACACGGGAAGTTTGGCTTCGGCTCCCTCCCAAGCAAAGTCGCGGCTCGACGCAACAATGTTGCAATCTTCTTCTTTCCTCGAGCACAACGCATGGGCAGCAGCGTCGCTGCTTCTGGTAAGAAGACACGCAATCTTCTCGTTCTTTCTTCCTTTTCTCTTCGATCGCATGAACGAAAGCTCTTGCCTCTCACATCTATAGGACGAACTCGTCTGTTGGCTTCGGATCCCCTCGCTTCCTCTTCCCAACAGTTCGATTCATCTCCAATTTCTTCGGCTATCCAACCCTCAAATCGTCTCCCCTTTACTCGACTATTCGCTTCCACTTCTTCAATTTTCTCGTTTCTTCTTCCTTGGTTACAGAAATAGGACATTACAAAATTAAAGGCTAGTTAGGATTTATTTATATTAATTTATGAATTTAAATGCATGTTTATATATGAGAAGTTAATAATAAGTTTAACTAATCATAAATTTGGAATCATGTAGGGAATAATTGGATTGATCCAAGAATGTCGGCAATATTGAAGGGTATAGTATTTCATTTATGTAAGTTATTTTAGATCACTAATAGAATGTTATTAAGTTACAATAAATTCTATGAAACAATCAAAGTGATTATAACTTGTCAAGTAGTTGAAATAAAAGATAAAAGGGATTGAGATCATTATTTGTGCAAAAGAAAAGGGGATAAGGAGGTAAGGCTTGAGTTTGCTTTAATTAACAATGTTGAAAGAAAATTTTTATTTATCAGTATTTAATTATGAGAAAATGTAAAATATGATTTATAGGCAATATAACAAGTTAAATAATTTGGAAATAATCATTTCATAAGTGCGACCTTTTAAGGCAAAAGTGAGTTATTATTTTACTATCTGTATTAAATTAATGATTTATTTAAAAATGACTTGCTTTCTTATCTTAATAATTCATGTTTTTCTGATTATATGCTCATTGAAAATTAAAGGGAAAAGGGTAGTAGTTCAATGACTTTGAATTGATATAATAAATGGAAATGAAATATAAAGAATTAATTCAATGAGGATTTAGCAACTTATAGTACTAGTTGTGGGATGCTATCATACACGTACATGAAAATGTAAATGGAAATAGTAAAAATGTACTTTCAGATACAAAATTTTGGGAGTACCTATGGGTACAAACTTTCGATGGTATCTACGGGTACAACATTTAAGATACATTCGGGTATGCAGTAATTCTGATATGACTTCTTAAAAAGTTCAAAAGAAAAATACTTAAATTAAAACATGACGAGTTAATGTAAAATAAGAGCTTATGATCTGATTAATGATTGAATCATATTTCTTTTAAACATTCATGTATAACATTTGCATATTAATTTTTAAATCAACTCTCACTAAAAAAGAATCACTTATCTTCATTTTTTTAAATGTTGAAATCCGTGTTCCCATTGAATTAATTAAACTGAATGATACCGAAACTAGTCTGGACTTATCGGAACACAAAAGCAAAATTTTATTAATATAGAAATAGGGTTGCAACACAAAACAAAAAAAGAAAAAACAACAACAGACCAATCCTATGCTAGGGATCGGAAGGTTATGAGAAAGGGTTGGTGGTTGCGAGGTCGGTTAGGAAGGGGTTTGGCGTCCGGTAGGTGGGTCTGAAGTGCCCGCTGGTGGTTGTACTGCAAAAATAGGCTTTAGAAAAATGGGCAGTAGGGTGTTTAGGGTGCAGTTTGGGTGGTTGGACAAAGGGGAAGGCTGCAGGGAAGGGGCGACAGCGTGTTAGGGTGCAAGTCTTGTGACTGGACAGCAAGGGTAGACAATAAGGAAGGGCGACGGGGTGTTAGATTGAAGTATGGGGCAGCCGGCGACAGAGAAGAGGGGAGAAGGGTAAGGGTAAAAGGAAGATACAACACCGCCTTAGAGTAGGGTATAACCAGAGCACCACCACATCTCGAATACAACCTTAGAACAGAGAGAATCACTCCACACAGAAATTTGAAATCTACAAACTGAGCCTTAATTCTCTGATAACAGCAATATATAGACTTTTATTGGAGGAGAAAAAGGAAAGATGTGGGAAAGGAAACTCCCACACAAAAGGAAGGGGTGGGAATACTCAAGAAATAGTCAGTAAAGGCTTTCCAAAAGGGGAACAGCACATAAGAAGGGGCGGCTAAGGAGAGCAGTAGTCCCGCCCCCTCTACAAAGCTCTCGAAGCCCCCTTCTCCGGAACTTGCGAACTCTCTATCTAAATCGGTCCACAGGCTTGCGAGCACAATTTCTAGTTGGTTCAGTTGGTCGGTGTTTTTAACTCCCCGCTTCAGGGGCGCCTTTAAGTGCCTCGCAACGCTGATATTTGGTAGTGCTACCCAAAGACTTTAACGAAGACATGTCTTAGATTCAACCTAGCTCTGAAACTAGTTCATCGTGACATAAATCCCAAAAACAACTCTTTTTAGATTGTCAAATCATAAAACAGAGCAACCAAAAAAAACTAGCACCACACACAAATATGATGATGAAATAATAAAGCGGTCAGAGGCAAATCAATGTTTATACCAAATCCCTTCCATGAAGAAATAGCTCGGGGAGAGAGAGGAGGATATCTCTTCTCAAAGACAAAGCCATAAAGAGAATGGAAATTTTTCTTTCTTGCCAAATCTCCAACAAAATTAGAAGGATATTCTTAATGGCTCATTTTTCTGTTTCTCTAACTTAGTTCAGTGGCATAAATGAAGAAACTCAGCCTTCTTTCCCTCACATTTTTTTAGAAGCCATCGATTTCCTGACTGATTGCGAGGTGTAGAACCAGCAGATCCAAATAAAAAACAAGGCTTGTGAGGAAATTGCTTAATGCCCTTGCTCATTTGATATAGTTACTACAAAGATTATCAGAAATGAATATCTTAAAAGACATATTGAAGAGATGTGATGTTAGTAGTGCAAGAATTCAGAGAATTTGTTGCTAGAGAAGGTTGTGCAGTTAACAAAAAAAACAGTGCTTTCAAATGTGATATAGAAAAAAAACTTTTGGCTTACTAATCTAGTCAAATTGAGTACCTTCTCAGGCTTTGTCTCCACTCTAAAACGGACAAGCCCCATACAAAGAAGAATCGGAACAACTAAAGATAAAGACAGGACAAGAGTTGGCTTTCTGGAAACAAATTCTCCATATTTCCTACGCCAAAAGAGCATTCAGAAAAATCATGTTATGGAAAGCAATAAAAATTTTATCCAAGATAGCTGCAAATAACCTGAAAATTCTGGCAAAAAAATCCTGAATAACGGAAGGTTGAAAATCTTTCCACAAAAGAGGACCTTTTGACATCTATAAATCATTTAAAAAAAAAAGATTACGAAGTATTAACAATTAGAAAACATAATTAATGCTTTCAAAAAAATTTAAACTTCTTTTTAATATGGCTAAATATTTGCATGGAAAAATTGAAAAAGTGAGTTTAGAACATAAACAACTCGAAAGAAAAGGAAACGGAATGGTCATAAAATTTACATGCATGGGTGGGTTAGTGTCTTGCTGCTTGTAACCAGAAAGAAGCTCATTTTCACCATTGCCGTTAAACAAAGGCTTTGGTTTGGAAAGAGGACCTCTTTCGCCTTTCCTAAGCAAGAATGTCCAAAGCAACAATGCAGAACTTGTTGTGATGTACAGAACGGCTAGAGAGAAATCTATACATTTCACCTGAAAAAAATAAAAGCTGAAAAATCTTCATTGTAGTCTCCAATGTCTCTTTTACGCCAAAAGAAAATTCAAACAATGTCTCAAGCCGCAAGTAAATTTTGAACATGCACTTCATATTTAAATAAAATTAAAAAAGTTTGTAAGCTTGGATGAGCATTTACAGGGATACTTTCCCAGATATTCTCACAATTGCAACATAAATTTGGCATTCAGTAATACCTGAAGTTCCCTAGAGAGGAGAACCAACCATTGGGATAACCAACAACACATAAATACCATAAGATCATCATTTAAATACAGGGGCAATTACATACATGGCACACAATTGTTATGTATTTACATATCTCACACCTAAATTTTTTTCATTACAGGGGCAATTACATACATGGCACACAATTGTTATGTATTTACATATCTCACACCTAAATTTTCATACACATAGCACTCAAATCTTTCGAATCACATCAAAATAACACTTGCCACCTTTTTAAAATGAAATGCACCTTTTCATGCATAGGTATAAAAAACCAAAGTGCTACATATGTACATATGAAAGTTAGGTGTGTGATATGGAATACATAAGAATTGTGTGCTATCTACGTAAATTTCCCATAAATAATTTAATCACGACTTACCCTTACAGAACCCATTGAAATTTTGCATGAACTTTTCTCAAGTAAAGCTGGAGGTGCAGAATCAGAGCATGTAGATGAAGAAGAACAATCACCACATGAACAGCCCAATAAGGAATCACCGCAAGAATAAATAGTTGAGTTAAGGGGCTTCATCCCAGATGATAAAGGAGCATTGGTTTTAAAGTCAATTTTGTATGGTGATCCTGGTGAATTTAGAGCTGCTTGCCTCCCAAGAAAGGATAAAAAATCTACGATTAAGCACCATAGCTTTAGAGGTCAAAGTTGAAACAGAAAAGAAGCAAATTCCAATCCCACAAAAATTATGAGTAATGTAGGGCCGAGAAGGCAATATACAGAATAGTATTTCTATGCATCTTAGAAAATGAGAATTGCAAATACATAAAGATAGATTTTTTAGAAATATAGACATATAAACATATTAATTTTATATAATATTTAAAATAGTGACCTTCCACTTGCCTAGTCTAAGGCCTTCCCTTGTGATACGAATTATCATATGCTTCTGACAATAATTTTGCCATCGAGATCTCTCAATGCAACCACGGCAAAAATTGTTGGAGTTTTGCAACTTCGGGCATTTGATCTTCAGTAGACAATGATAGTCGAGGCCGCTATTAGTAGGAGTGCGGCAATGGAGTGAATGAAAAATGTTATACGAACAATTATTCTACCAAATGCAAAGCCACTCAGCAAAATGTCATCTAAATAACAGTGATATGGACCAAGCCTTCACGGGCTATTTGTTTCCTCAAATATGGATGGTTCTAACTAGAAGTGACGAGGACCTCCCAAGAGTTGATTAGATCTTACAAGGTTCTAAGGAAATTTTTATTTAGGTTCTTCAGGGGATCTTAAAACCGTTGGGCATATAAAATGAATAGCTTTGCACTTTTGTCCTCATTTTTAATGAGATTGACTAGGCTTGTGCCTTAACAAGCCTTGATCTGAGACGGTCTTTGCCCTAGTCTAAAGCCAATCATATTAGTTTTCCTAGGTAGGTACTCTAAGGCTTAGCCTAGCCAAGCCCTAGAAATTTCCAAGTCTAAAACCCACTTCTCCTAGTGGTAAGAAGCACTAGATTTTCTCAGGACTAAATTTGGTGTGTGCTAGTTTTTTGCTAAAAACCTATTAGAAACAATATCAACACCCTTGGCTTAGCGGTATCTCATGCGAAACCCTTAGCATATCCTATTACAAACCTAGTATAAAACCTTGTCTTAAGAACGTCATAACCCGGACCGAGAATTGGAATTAACTAACACGGGAACGGACAGTTAGAAAGTGAAAATAAATTTTCTGTTATTTTATTTCTATTACAAACTATTTAATATCAAAAAGATTTCAAGAAAGAGCCAACAAAGCAATTAAAATTAAAATTAAAAATTTGTACGTTTTCAATTGTTATTATTGCCTCCTATACACATTTGATCCTCTCTTGTTAATCTTATTCAAAGTTCAAAGCCTGGAAAAAATTTTAAGGAAACATTGTGTTATATCAATAGATAACCCAGGAATAATTTAATATGCATAATGGTTTTTCATATCTCTATAAGAAATTTTATAATATGTTAGTCTTTCATATTTGTATAAAAAATCTTATATATGTTAATGAATGTAGCAATGAATTTTCTAAATGAAAATACTGAAATCTTTTATATGCATTTACTTTACCTTTACTCATATTTTATACTCTTTGCATACACATTTGTCTCTGTGAGAATCACCGTCACCAAAACCTAACACACTTTTGGCCAATATTGCTCAGTCGGCTCCCATCAGCACAATGGTTAATGATGCAAACATCATAATTTTCTAGAATGGAATGGTTCTAGTTCCCTTCTAATCGATATTATCACTTCGACACAGCGATTAGCAATATAAATATCACAATTGTCTTGGTAGATAAGCTCCGGGATACTTGCCCCTAACCGATATTATTCCGTCAGCACAGCAATTAGAGAACTAACTCTCACAATTGTCTATAGTGGTAAAAAAACTTTAATCAAGTGGGTACACTAGTGTCCCCTGCCTGTATCATTAAGGGGTGAACTCTTCTTCTGAGCATGCATTATAAGCATTCAGATATAAGTCATTTCATTCTGCATAACATATATAATTCTGAGGCATCTTCAAGCATCTACTAACATGCATATTTACTCTTATTATGTTGTGCAACTATCATCATGCATCTCTCATATCATGCATATCTCTAATATCATGTATATCTATGTCTCATGCATATCTCTTATATCATACATATATTTTTCTAACGTGTTATCGCACATATCTTTCCTTACATGTCTATCTTGCATATCATGTTTATCAGACATATCATACATCTCATGTATAAGTTTCATGTTTAACAATATGAAGAATCTAAATAAACAAGAGCATACATATAGCCAAACATATATTTTGAAATAAAAAGACTATTAAAATTTAGAAATATGATTACTTTTCTCAGTTGTCACGCTAAATTTTTAATCTTAGGTAACTAACTGAACGTGCGATAACTTTTTTATAATAATATGAACAACCTATAAAACATGCAGTAGCCAGGCGCTGGAGCTTTGCGAGAAGAAATCGAGAATGGGAGGGGGCTTCTTACGACGCCACCGAGAGCAAGGAAAGGGTATCGGGAGGGGAGGAATTTTGAAGGCTCTGGAATCGCAAACCCTCAAATAAGAAGTCATGAGAGATGGTTTAGAACAATGAGGGGATTAGGAAGCGGGTAGTTAAGAGTTAATTAAATTTAATTAAAGTTATAACTTTCAATTTTTATATCTTCTAATATATTAATAATCTAAATATAGTATTATATATCGAATTGATTGTTCTAATGTGTAGAACTTTATAAAATTGATTTGATTGAAATCTGGAGGATCTGTAATTTAGGATATACTCTAAAGTTGCCAAAATTTTTACTTAATTTCTCAAAACTAATTTTTACAGCCTTGGCCATAAGATGACTCAACTGAACTCAAACCTATGCATAGGGCCAGGTACCCCAATCATAAGGTGGACTTAATACTAAAACAAACCATTAGAAACCAAAATTGAAAACCATTACAAACAAAATTTAAACTCATTTGAAACCCTTGGGAACGAACCCACGGGCATGTAAATGACCCTTTGAGGTCCTGCACATAGTAAATAATGTCTCAGATGTCCTTAGGAGCCTTTCCTAAGCTAAACCAATCCAATTGTGAACCATGGAAAAATCGTAACCAAACCATAGGGTGCATGAAACACAACTTAGGACTTTACTGAGCCATTTGGGCCAATATGATCAAAGAATGACCAAAGAGATGCTTAGGAACCCTTGAATTCTATCGTAAAATATTTGAAACCATCTCAACCCTTTCAACCAATTAAAACCCATGCAAATAGGGTTAACCCAAACTCAAAACCATTGAAAACTAACTGGAACTTAAGATTTACTTGGCCTCAGTCAATCTAAATTTTGACCAATTGGCTTAGCATTAAACCTTGGATAACCTAATGGACTTAAGAAGCCCCAACCTAGCCCAAATCAAATAGTGGACACCCTAGAATTCCAAAAATTGCTAGTCCAATAAACCAAACAAACCGTTCTACACACAACTCATGGGTCAAGGCAGTTGGGTTTGTTAAACTATGAAGACAAAATTTCTTATCTAAATCATATAATTTCTCTACTAACTACTCTCTGTTTAACTCCTACAAATTTATCATCTATCATTCTCTACTTTGCATCTACATTATAATACCTGCCACCATTTACCGAATAAATTCAAGCTTGCTACAACCACCTCTCTATCATTCTCTACTTTCCATCTACATTATAATACCTATCACCATTTACCAAATAAATTCAAGCTTGCTACGACCACCTCCAAGTACTATATAAGGAGATGTATCCAGTGTATTGCCCACAAACAAAAGCAAATAAGAGATAGAAAGGGTTAGGGAAGAGGGGCTTAAGATTTATGCTATTAACGCTCGTGCAGTAAAAGAGAGGGATAAAGAAGCTCTTGTTGCAGGAGCTTCTTTAAAATATTACCATTGCAGCAGCTTCTTTAATATATTACCATCTTCCCATTTTTATTACAAGAACTTATTCACTTTTTCTCTTAATACTCTTCTTTTAATATTAAGTGAAATATTGATCTCCATGCATACATTAATGTAAGTAAATATCATTAAACAATAAAAAATTGTGTTTGTGTTTGTGATCTTTGTTCTGTTTACTGTTCATCTTCATTTTATTTTGTCAAATACATCGCTTAAAATGAATATTGAAACAAGTGGCACGTAAACAGTGGTTAGAATGTATCGATCATGCTCGAAGCCACCCAAAACAGCATCCTATCACAAAATGGACCATACCATACCATGGCATCTGTAAGTATTCAAATTACCTAAGGAAGAACTTTGTACGGTTGAAAGGAGCATGTAAGATAAAAATGACAAGATAAGACGCAACATCACATGAATCTATCTCAAATCAACTCAACTATTGCTAAAGTGGCCCAAATGAGCTCATTCTTTAAATAGACAGCAAGAGCGTGCTTGGAGAGTTAAAAAGTTATCAAAAAATGTTACTCATATTGATCTATCTATTGCACAAAAGCAGAATGCAAATATTGCATTTATCTAGATGCGACACAAATCTCAAGGCAACGCATAATTTAAGGCAAAACCGATAACCAAGATATATGAAAAATTTAATATGATTATCAATTTAACATTACTGTTATCATTAATGTTTTAAGAAAAATTCAATTTTTTTTATTAATAAATCCCACTAAATTATATTGCCCACCCGAAAAATTTATAAAAAAAACCTAACACAAATCTCAAGGCAACGCATAATTTAAGGCAAAACCGATAACCAAGATATATGAAAAATCTAATATGATTATCAATTTAACATTACTGTTATCATTAATGTTTTAAAAAAAAACAATTTTTTTATTAATAAATCCCACTAAATTATATTGCCTACCCAAAAAATTTATAAAAAAAAAACCTAACTCTATTGCCCAAGTGCTAACAATCCCATGTTCCTACCCACTTCTCTAGCCAAGACAACATTGCCTCGTCTCTTTGGATGATGCAAGAGCCCAAAACCAAGCAACTTGCCTCCCCTCAGTATCTTTCAATGTCATAACTCTCCAATTATCATCTCTGTCACAACCCGACCCAAAGGCTTGGAATTTTCAAAGCCAAAATGGACAGTCGAACAATGAAATTAAAATTTTATATTTTCATTTTCTATCACTAACAATTAATCATCCAACAATATTTCAAAAAACCAGTACATAAAAAAATAAATTATTACAATTGTAACTTTATATTTTTTTTATGACTTAGCCTTTTATACACATTTTTTTTCTTTATTACTCATTTTCCAAACAAAATCTTAAACCTAAAAAATGTAAATATAAAATAAATGCGAGTTATCAACAACCAATAAATACTTCTTCAAAACTACTGTAACATAACAAATAACAAAATAATATATATGTTAATCAGTCAAAGATAAATCAAAATAAGATAAATAATAGTTTACTAATAAATTATGATCATTCAATAAATTTTATAACATGCAATTATATTCTATTATATTATTTTCTTATATATATATATATCATTTTATATATACATTTATCACAGAAGCACCATCTAGAATTTGTACCAATTAAATTTTTATAATTTGACTTTCATATTATTACATTTTTATTTTTTATTTTTTAAATCTTCAATTTAATAACTTATATATAAAATAAGATAATTATATATATATTATTATTATTATTATTAGAACTTTAATATAACTTTAAAATACCAGATTATCATTAATTTTTCATTTTATTTAAAAAAAAACCTTAATAAAATATGTTATAGGTATAAACCAAAAGTTTAAAGTTTATAAATGAAATACTTAATTAAAATTACCTCGAATCAATCGGCTCGCCCAAAAACTAGCCCTACCTGCGTGAGTTTGCACTTGCTCAGCGTCGAGTTCATGTGCTCGATCTCGCACACCGACTCTACCTCTAGCTTGATGAGGTGGGCACTCAAATATCGATCAGCTCATTAGCTTCAATTGCACTAAACTGCTTCCATGTGCCAATTAGAATGAAGCCCTCAATGTTCGGCCTTAGCTTGTCGTTGAACTGAACTTGTCTATTTCAACTGTTGCAACTCACGAATAGTATCGCAAATCTTGTCTTCCGATATATGTCAATAGGCAGCAAGTTACTCTCGACCCTGAATGTAATTTTGACCACTTCTTCCTCCTTCGACCCACTCAACAATCACGCATAAAGTTGCTCCTTCCATATCCTTGTCCCTCTCGCTCAATTTATGTTCTTTCTGGGGTTCGCCTCTCCCAATCTCCTTCCATCTCCTCTTAAAGGTATGAACCAAACCCTCCCACTGGTTTGTTTCCTCCGAAGTGTAACGGTAGTGTTACAAAGAGATTAAACTAAATACCACAATCTCCTCCCAAGGCATGCCATCAACTGCCATATTCAACAACGCCCTCTCTGTTCTCCCTACCATTCTCCCCACTGCATCATGTTAAACCGCCATCCTATGCCCTCTTCAGCTTCTCGCTCATGTGCGACCACCCCTGGGCCAAACCCCATCTTCTCACACAAAAATTCCAGGCCTATTGTCGCATCCCTCTCCATCTCACTTATAGGTCGCTAGACTCTTCCTCATCACAGCACTTTCCATTCCATCGTGCAATTATTAGTTAATTCTCCTCCAAAAATCCTTGAGGTGATACGATAGCAAATGCCTCGGAAATGAAAGATAAGAAGTGAACTGAATAAAAGATGATAAAATGGCCTGCTTTTTGGTATCTGTTTTAGAGAATGTGAGCAACTGCCATGAAGAAAAGGACAAGATCAGTGTGAATGATGCTTCGCTGCCAATTGAACGTAAGAAAATGGGGATGTGCTTCTCATTTCAAAGATCATGGAAGAATAGAATAAAAGGTTCCTAAATGAACGAATGAGAGAAGCTAGAGCACAAATTTTTGGGGCCTCCAATGATTTCCCCATTGGTTTTTATTGACCCTATACATATTATTATATCATTGTGAATGATGCTCCACTGCCACTTGAGCATAAGAAAATGGGGATGCGCTTCTCATCTCAAAGATCATGGACGAAGGAAAGAAAGGTTGCTAAAGGAACGGATGAGAGAAGCTAGAGAGCGAATTTTTAGAGCCTGCAAAGATTTCCCCATTGGTTTTTATTGACCATAAACATATTATCATATCATTATCTTTAGAGGCAGACAACACTAGACACTTTTTATAATTATCTGCTATGTTAGCGCTACCTAATGCAAAAACTAAAATGGTTTACTAACTAGAAGTTTTCCAAAGAATCAGATATCACTCCTGTTTAGGTTATTTGTCCTCAATTTTGTTTACAATACTTCAACCGAAAAATTGTATGTTTTATTAGCTATATTACTGTAATCTTTTACCAGAAGATATTGCTATGGCTCATCTCTCTAGACCATATGTGGTTATAGCTGTAACTAGATGTTATTATTCCTCTAAAAAAGGTGTAGGTTGATTCCTTATCTCGCAGCTTTTAGAATTTGAAGTCATTCCTTCTTATCATTCTTGCAGATTTTTTTGGCACAACTTACTTTAAATATTTGAAGTCTCGTCTAAAACAGAGAAAATCAAATATTTGAGCACAAGGGAAGCATACAAATTATCAGGTTCTAATTTTAAACATGATGAGTGCACCTCAAATTTCAAATCATGCTTGCAATGAAAATTTGCAACCAGACTTTTTACATTGAATCGCAGCCTTCTAAGCTTGCTCCTGCTAGCCCTAGAAACATAATGTCAACTCCTTATTAGCATGCCTAAAAACTGATCATAATCCTCATAATGTGCGAGTCTCTCCTGTTCTGTCTATTATTAAAGACGTCAATGTTTTCAGAGGAATTTTATGATTTTGATGAGCACCTTCAAAATATTAATGTTTTGGTGAATAGGAGTTTTCAAATTTCATTTGCTAGACAGTGCCAAAAAAATAAAAAAATAAATAAATAAAATTATCATCACCCCATAAGATTCACTAAGTTTCATGCAATGCATTGCAAATGAGAATGTATGTAGTTTTCATCTTTTTTTTTCTTTTCCTCTTTTTTTTGGGTTAAAGGACACCCCATCCCATGTAGGGCTAGGCTCGTGTTCGCCTCGTTCGAAATTGTTCGTGTTCGAAATCGGCTCGTGTTCGAAAACGGCTCGTGAACAGTGTGTTCGTGTTCGGCTCGATTTAAATATTCGTGTCCGTGTTTGACTCGTTAAAATTAAACTGAAAAAGTAGATGTAAAGTGTTGAATTCGAACCAGAACCAAATGTATGCAAAATAAGGTGTTTAACCACATTACCACAAGTACAAGTACAATTTAAACTTAGATATAAATATATATAATATATTATTATATAAATAATATGTATAATATATTTTATATAGATAATTATATATATATTTTTACTTTTAATTGATTATAAATCTTTTAGCCTTGTAGTCAATTAAATTTTTTAAAAATACAAGCTCTTAACGAATAAGCCGAACACGAGCTGTTCGCGAACAACGAGCTTTTTTGACAGCCCTAATCCCATGTCATCATGTTAATTTAATTTCTTCTTCTTCTTTTTTACTTTTCTTATAACAATTCTTCATAATTGCCTCATATCGTGCTCATACCCATTAATCAAATAAAAATTATGCTTTTAGGAAAAAGAAAAAAACCCTGCCCTAGTCGGATTAAAACTATCGAGAAATAGCCTTGATTAGCATCTGCCTTCCTCCTGTTGCACAAACTAAAGGTTGGTGGTGGCTAATCACAATGTCCCAAAATACTTGTGCTTCTTCTTTGTTCTGGATTATTGGGACTTGCTTTTTTTACCTTGAATTGCTTCCTTCATTCAAGTAGCCCCTCTATGGGACCAAGGTGTCGACACCAAGCATTGACCTCTTGAGCAACACTTACATTTCAATCTCATTGCGTCAATCTTGGATGGCCTCCTCATCAATTATGCAATTCAACCATATTTTATTTTGCTCGCTACTTACATTTCCTCGTTCACAATCTCTCAATAACATCCTTTCTTCCTTCAACTTTATCAATTCAATCATATAGATGTTCGCCCATTCTTCACTTTTATTATTTAATCTATATGAAAGTATTCAAAAAATATATTTATAAATATTTTTTATGAAAACCAAACATAAAAATGTACAGTTACAACATTTTGTGTGTTATGATTATGTGTGCGCGCGTAGGAAATATTGTGTTATATATAGTATATTAAGTCAATTTTGAATTGAATCACCGAAAATTTCGTTCATGTCATTTGCATTTAAGAAATCCAAGACTCTATGATGCCATCCATCAACTAACACTTGACTTAATTTTATTATTTTTGTTTTTCCCTTGCATCGCAATGGTATTAACAATCATAACTAATAAGCTAATGCCAATAAATGTAACTATATAGTGGAAAAAGTACTCCGTCTATCTCTATACATAATTGAAAACTAAAAGTATGATTTGTTGTACATAACTACATACCTTCATAATTTTCAGCACCTGCGCCAATAAAATCCATTACTCGAGTATTCATGCTACCAAATTTTACATCTTTGCAAGAGTCATAAAACTCTTCCCCATAGGTATTTGTGATGAAATAATCAATTCCATTAACAGTCATGGTATTATTTACCTATAAGTGTGAAGTTGCTTTTAAGAATAACACTGAAGAAATCCGAAAAGTTAAATAGTAGTTAACAAAAACCTGCGTAGCCGAAGTCACGTTTATAAATAAACTCTGATTTGGAGAGCAGGAGAGTTCGCAGAAAAAATTTAGAAAGTTCCTCAAGCATGCTGGACACCCTACAAGTAAAGGGACTGCCTGCAAGATGCGTCGCGTTAGTCAATACGAGATCATGAAAATTTTGAACATAGATATATAGCAAAGCACAACAGAGATACCGAGGACTGAAAACCCTGTTGCTAATAAGCCAAAAACTCCATCAAGCTAGTAATGAGTTAGAACTTTGATTGTGAAATACGGACCCATTGCATGGAGAATTGAAAAAATTACCAACGAAAATTCTATTGAAGAAGATAAAATCCACCTCCCACACCCCAATCAGAAAAATATAAAAAAAATGAAGCTTTAAATGGAAACTTGACACTGACTCCAGCTGACAGACTTACTTGCTGAACTTGATCATGCAATGTCTCAAACTGAGCTGCATTGCAGCAGACATTGCTCGTGATTGTAGGGCATAAACTCTGGATCCTAGAAGAGAGCAAACCATCTGGCTGAGAAGTGAAAGAATGCAAACACAAAGTAAGCAATGGAAATAAATAAAGAAACCAAAATCCATAATATCGATCCAGAATTGCCTATTTAAGAAAAGAAAAAAATCTTAAGCATGAGCACCGCCGATGTAAAATTGTCTAAAATTGAGTGTGAGCACAAAGTGATTAATTTTATATGAACAAAATTGTAAAGCTACACACGCAAGTTCATTTCATAATATTATACTCTCCTACTCAGCATGTCTGTTACCACGAAACAGAACAGAAGCATTTGCGGGAAAGCAAAGCTCTATAGAAAATAAAGGATAGCAGTGGAAAACAAACTACAGTTTGTCTATTACCTTAGTAGCAAGGCTGCCTTGAGCACAATTCAAATCCTTCCCATCACTGCGTTGTGCACAAATACCATACATAGAACAATAACCCTCTCTATGCATATCACTGAAAAAATGAAATAGATTTAGATGAAAAGCCTTGTAACAAGAAAAAAATGGAAGACATTAGAAAACTTCCTGAGAAAAATGAATGATGCAAGAGAACATAAAGATGAGATATAACATGCAGTGGAGAGGACTCAATATAAATAGTTGTGTCCAATTCATTCATGAGCCTAGGAGTTGATCTAGTTCTTACAACTCTGCTCCAGGGTAAGATGTCGTCTCCAGTCTCAATCCCTATGGTGGTTCCCTTGTTGTTTCAGTTTGCTAACCTCTTATCAATCTCTAATACACCACTCATTTTTGGAGTCATGCTACCTAGGCATATAGGCTCAAAATTTATGTTTGGCTTTCTATGAGAGGGTGATTTCAAGTTAAAATTTCAAAAATCGATGATACCGTAGTTAGGGAAGAAATCAGTGAAAATGAAAGGAAACTTTAATTAGCATTGAATTAGGGTTACAACACGAAACAAACAGAAAAGGAAAATACAACAACAAACTAATCTCCGGCTAGGACCGGAAGAGAAGATCCGAGGGTTATGATGGCTTCAGCAAAGTGGCAAGGGAAAAGGGGAACGGTTGAGGACTATCGAGTATGTTGGAAGGGTGGTTGGTGGCTGGTTTGGGAGTTGGGATAATGGGGCAGCAAGGAAAGCTGCAGGGAAAGTGGTGAAAGGTGTTATGTGATGATGGGGAGAGCCGGACAAGAAGGAAAACTATGGTATGGGGGGCGGCTGGATGCAGATGGGCGGTCGGGAGGGCTGGACAGTAAGGCCAGCAGCAGTTTGGAGAGGAACAGGCTGGGAGGCGGAATGGATTGCTAGACAGCAAAGCTATGGTATGGGGAGGCAGCAACTGAGCTGTTGAGATGAGATGGGAGGCCGGCAACTATGGGAAGTGGAGGAGAAGGGTAGGGAAGATAATAGGGAAGGATATAACACCACCTCGGAGCAGGATACAGCCGAAGCAACACCCGTCATCAGATACAAGAGGAAGGCTCCATAAGATCTCTAAAAACAACGACCAAAACAAAAGCTAACCCTAATTCTCAGAAAACAGAAACTAAACGGACTACCCACAAGCGGAAACAAGAAAGGAAATGAGAAAAGATAGAGATGGAAGGGAGGAAGGGGTTGACGGCATTGCCACCCATCCCAATTAGCACTTGGGCTCATAGAAATCAGGACCGGTCTCCCTAATTTCCAATCGGCCTCGTATGAGTCGGACCAGCCCCCAAATGCCACTCGAGACCAATCTCCTCAGACCAGGTTTGCCAGGTCTATCTACCAATCAGTTCAGCTGACTGGCCTCAGCTTTACGTCAGTCTCCCGAGGTTGGGGGAGCTTTAACTTTGTTTGTTTGAGCTTCTGGTTCTTCGCCTGTAATCCTAACAACACCTTGATCACATTGGTACACTATTTACTACTGAATTGAACTACATGTTTTGCTTATGTTGTTGAGCATTCTCAAAGTTATCCACAGTTGGCTTCAACAGATCTGAGGTGGGGGTAATCAGAACCTCCATGCACAGTGGTGGCACTGGTGGTAAGGTATAGACCCGAATATCCTGAAATGACCTTTTTCGTGTCTGGCCAGTGTCATAAGCTGGTGTCTCCATCCCATCATCCGTTGTCATTACCAAAATTGGTCCCACTGATGCTGCTCTACCGGTAAAGGCTGTTGGGATTTAGTTCTTCCTTAAATTGAGTTCGTCTACAATAGGTCCACTGGTCAGTCCATGGGTCATAATCTCATTGAGATTATATATAAGCAAACACCTAGCACACCATTAGAGTTCGTGTTGATACGTTCAACTATCAAGTTTAGTACTAATACAAATGTCAAAGTAGAAAATATAGATTCTATAAAAGCACATAAGGAATTCGCCAAGCAGAAAACCAAATATTAGAAGCAAGCCAACAAGTTGAGGAAGGATATGGCCTTCAAGGTGACTTGGTGTTAATTAGACTAAAGAAGATATTTCATGCATGTTCATTTGAGAAACTCAAGATTAGAAAAAAAAATCTATTCAAGATTATTAAGAAGATCAATGATAATGCATACAAGATTAATTTATCAAAATTTTACAATATTTTTATACATCCAACATCGTTGATCTACTATTATACTATGAGGTTCCAGATAATTCAATGAAGAAGGAGAAACATCTCCTACCCGAGAGAATAATGCAAATATTTTCACGTCTATCCCACATTCAAACTTTTAGTGTACATTTTTTCGCCTTTCCTCTTGTTCTTCTCCCAACCAATTCAGTCTTTCTAGCTTTCAAGAACTGGACTAACTCCTTAGGGTCTTAATTTTCCTAATTTAGATTGTTATTAGGGTTAGTGATGTAAACAAGTCGAGTTACCCTCAGCTTGAGCTTAAACTTAATTAATTTTATCGAGTTCAAGCTCGAGCTTAAGCTTAAATCTACAAGTTTGAGGAGGCGCGGCTCAAGAGCCAGCTTCTTTATTATAAAAAGGAAAAAATAATATTAATTTAAGGTACTGTTATAACAAAATGACAAATAAATGAACAATTAAGAGAGAAATAATAAAAAATCACTTAATATATGATACGCCTAAAAATGTATTATTTTTCATGTTTTATTTTATAATGATATTGCACTTTGAAGGTATGTTTTCTTGTGTTTTTTTTTTGTAGGAACATCAAACTGAATAATTTGGAATGATTGGAGCAAAAGAAACAAAAAGTACCAAAAGGGAACAAATCGGGTCGAATCGGGGCACACCAGAGCCATTGGGGCCGAAACCGGACACTTAGGTGTCTGCTTAAGCGCCCAAATATGGCACTTAAGTGCCCAAATATGACGCTTAAGCGCCAAAATATGACGCTTAGGCGCCACCAGACAAAGAGGGGAGCTCTTAAGCGCCTCAAAATCAGCGCTTAGACATCGGATACGGTTTTCAACATATTTTCTAAAATATACGTCGGATTTGGACGATTTTTGAAGCAGTGTTTCGTGCATCACTTGGGGAATTCGTTGAAAATAATAAAAGAGACTTTCTAAAAGAATTTGGGACGGTTATAAGGAGTTTTGAAGAGGCACTTTAAGCACTATTTGGAAGGTTCAATGAATATTGACAGTTTTGAAGAGACACTTAAGAATCTCTTGAGAAATTATAAATAAGATTCGTAAATGCTTTTAAAATAACTCTTGGACTTGAAGTAATTAGAAGAGGAGAAGAAGAAGAAAGCTTGGGCGTGAGCCCCAAGTGGGGCGACAAGGCTAGAGAGAAAGAGAGAGTGTGAGAATTTCTTCTTTTCTTTTCACTTTATTCTTGGAGAGGATTGTAAGGAGATTGCTTTTGTTATACAAGGAGAGTTTGATTTTCATCTAAGATAAGTATTTTCATTGTATTTTGATTTGAATCTAGTACTTTGTTTGTATGGTTTCAAAGTCTTGTTCAATGAAAAATTTTTATTGTTCTCCATGTGTAGTGAGTAGTTTTATTTACTCTTCCCTCTTGTAATGAATTAGTATGTATGTGTAGGATATAAAATTGTGTAGAGTGAGAATATATTGTGGAATATATTGTGATGTCTTCATTTACATGTAAATTTGATCAACTTGTATGTTAAAATCTGTTGTGAGAACATATAATATGTTAAAATCTGTTGTGAGAAAAATCTGTTGTGAGAACATATAAGATTCGAGATGGTGTTTTCTCAATCAACTGTGGTATAATCACATGAGAATGTGTGGATGAGAATGTAATCCATATGATTAAGTGCAAATAAATAGAGAAATAATCTTTAATGGGTGTAGAATTAGAGGAATTTAGAGTGACAGGTTAAAGCCTCTAATTTGGTCTATTTTTTTAGGATTTGATACGAGATGTTAGCCTCCAGGTGGAGAAATAAGAGGGAACTCTAGAGTGAGAGCTAGTATCTTCTCTGTCTAGCCCGTCTTCAGAAATATTCAAACTTTAGATTAACTAATGTTCTTTATAGCATTTCTAAAAAGGATAAAGAATATAATTGCTCCTATTTGTCACAATCTTTCTCTACTTGTTTCACTTTTACACATGTAACTAATTTCATTGCATGAGGAAGGGTACTTTTAATATATTAAACCCCACTTTTTGATTTTCACTAAGTATTTTAGTTTTGAAGTAGAAATAGTACTGCAGTGATAATTATAGGATATAAACAAAATCAAACATTTATCAACCTTCCAAGCTATGGCGTGTTATTCTAGACTAGAACTTCTCTTGAAAGCCGCCGTGATTAACCTCGATCTCCGTGGGATCGATATTCAGGGGTTGAATTAGAAAGACTTATATTACCTTGCGTAGAATCCCTACAAATATAATTGAAATCTTACTTTGCTTAGGATCAAGTTTTTTGTGTCATTATCGAGGATTAAAATCTTCAAGTAATGGTGTCAACTTCATAAATCATTACATATAAAAAAAATATCAGGATCAATATAAAATATAAATTATTACTTTTTAAAATATTTTTAATATTTTAAATATGAAGTCTTTAAATTTAATATATTTTCAGTAAATTTTATATTAATATTTTTTCAAAGAGTCGGCTCACAAGCTAACGAGTCGAGTTGGGGATAGCTTAAGCTTGGCTTTTTAGCTGATCAAGCTCATTTCACAAGCCACTTATCGGGTTGGGCTCGAGCTGGCTCATGAGTCGACTTGACTCACTCACACCTTAGGGTTAATTGCTTCGAAACAATGAATAATTCTTGTTGCAAATTGATTTAGACAGCTTGTTCTTATTATTTTGAGCTATTAGAGATTGTCGGGATTCTCACCTTAGAAGTTGTATTATGTCTCTTCTCGAGTGATGTGCTTATATCTTGAATGGGAAACAAGTAATGGATCTTTTTTAGAGTTCTTATTTCGCAAAAATTGTCATTTGACAATGTTTTCTTGTTCTTTTCACTTAGGACAGAAGGGTCACTAATTTCATTTGACTAATTGATAAAGACGATATTTCCATAGTCAACTGTATTTAGTCAACTGTATTTCCATTCTCGTCTTTGTCAAATGAAATTTCATTTGACAATGTTTTCAATTAGTGAAAAAATTGTCATTTCCATTCTCGTCTTTATCTTAGCCGCTCTATCCACCCTTCTTTGAATGAGTAAATCCTCCAGGGAAAATGAAACAGAGCGTCACACAGATAGCTTAAAGCATGGAAGATTGGCATCCTTACTTTCTAAAATATTCGTGAAGGTTGATAGAAAGCTGGCAAAGTATTTTCAGTGAGTTAAATCACATATACAATCATTGAGAGTTGGTGGCATTGGGTTTGGGATCAAGCAATGGCAATTAGAAGAAACTGAGAGCCGATATTTGGACATGAGATTGCCACAGTTGACAAGGTTTTGGGGAAAAGATTAGTAGTCAACGAGAGAGATATCAGGCACGGCAAGTGCTAATCAGTGTTTATTATGTGTAGAGAGAAGCAGTGCGTAGTGACGTGGAGAAGATGTGAGAACACAAGAAAGTCCCGAGAAGGAGTGCGGGAGAATGACTAACTCTTTGTGAAATGACATTAGGTGAGCATAACAAGCACAAAAAATGTTGGCTCAATAAAATAAATATATATATATATATATATATATATATATATATATAACACAATATCTATATATTTATATCTAAGACATAAACTTCATTTTTACATACATGTCACCTTATCTATGCGTGAAATAAAAATTTGTATTTCACTTTTTAAAGTTAAAATGGTAGTATTTTTTATGTGATACGAAAGATTTGTGTGGTATAAACATAAAAAACCAAAGTTTATGTGTTGAATATGTAAATACATAGAAATTGGGTGCTATGTAAGTAAATGTCCCAAAAAATAAATAAACAAATCGACCTGGTAATGATTTCCATTATCTAGAGACAAGATTAGGATTTGGCACAAATAGCCTTACCCAGATGCTGCATTGGATTGTGAGAGGGACACCTGAGCTTTTGCAGAAAATACAAAGAATATAACCTGCACATCAAATGTAGCTGTTAAATATATAAATTGGTAACATGGCAACGTTTAATGACAAAAAAAAAACCTGCAAACTAAAATAATGATGGATAACAAACAAAATATCTCATAGAAGTTTCCTTAGCCAACCATGAACAATTATATGTACGAGTAGTAGCACTAAAGCACTTTTATTGTTGTGAAAAGTCTCAGGATAATATATGAAGCAATCTGCTAGAATTCATTAACACTTTCACAAAAAAAAATGTCACTCTATTGCCATTTAGGAGTAGCATTAAGCCCAGTTGGATCACACCACAAGAATGGAAATACAGTTGACTATAATCAATAGATAACACCAGGAATACGTGCCACGTCATATAAGAGCAGTGAAACAATAATTACAAGCTGTTTTGATGCATATTCTCAGCAAACTGACAACCAGCAAAGAGCGCCAGGTTTTGCAGCTTAGTGACCAAAGTTGAGGCCGTCTCCCCACCCAGGAGGTCCAATGCATTTAATCCGTAATTTAAAAATTACGGATTAATCCGCTCAACTTTAAAAAAAAAAGAAGATTTACATGCATACCACACAATTCCTATGAATTTAAGTATCTAACAATTAAACTTCAATTTTTACATACATGACATCTTGCCTTTGCATAAAAGGTGTATTTTCCTTTCCAAAATGGTGGTACTTTTTGATGTGATATGAAATATTTGGGTGGTGTAAATGTAAAATGTGAAGTATAGAAGTTAGATATGTAAATAAATAGGAATAGGGTGGTATGTATATAAATGCCCCGAGAAAACAGCAAAGAAATGCAATGATGAATTATAAAAAAATAACTATCATGCGAAGGCACACAACAAAGCAGATTTGAATCTTGGACAATTCTTGTGCACCAAAGTTTGTCGTGCTTAAATGCAAGGAGGTTCCAAAATCAAGCTGACCACAGTTTGAAGTGGCTCAATCAAGATTTGAATCTTTGACAATTCTTCATCACATAAAACTTAAATTATCCAATAAATATTTCTCAAAAAGCTGTCATTGTCATCAAAAATAACCATGCATCATTTACTTGCATCGGCAACAGTACAATTAATGGTTACAGCCGGCCGTAAACTGTCATAAAACCGATAAAATAAGAGGTAAACAACAGAGTCAACGTCCCTAGGCCAGCTTAATTTCCACCAAAACTTCCGGGCTCAGATGCCTCGTGAGTAGAAGATGACAGTAATAAAAAACTAATAAGCCCGAACACAAAGAAAACAAATGAAAAAGTCAGCATGCCCCTTGCCCTGTCTTGCATGCGAATATGTTTTCTCAAATGATTAGACTAAAATTGACAACCCCGATAGAAGCTTTTTTTTTTTCCTCTTTTCAAGTTATGGAATCAATGAACGGACAAAAAGAAAATATAGAAGAAACAATGTGAAAACAAAAGGAGAGAACCTCATTCATGAAATTAACGAATTGCCTAATCTTTTTCTTAAAAAACTCAGATAAATCTCATAAAGACAATAAGGGTGAAAAACGAATACCTACATTCTCTGCTAAAAAAACTAATAATCCGTGAAGTTAAACTCATCCCGCCTAAAAATACTATAATCCTGCTTTTCACTGAACTAGAATCCAGCAAACAATAATCAATGGCGCCCTCTACTTCGATTAAGATAGCAAACCAGCAAATCCGAAAGAAAGATGCTTAAACAATAAAAGGACCGACCAATATCGTATAAATTAGAGGAAAAATAGATACAGATTGTGTCAGGTGTTGTACCAATCTCCAAGCAAATCCAATATATAGAATACCATCGTTACCATTTTTGGGAACACAGATTTTCTTGGAGGAACATGGAGGAGCAAGAGGAGGTCACAAACCCTACTCGGCCTTCGTACCTTTAAAAGGAGAACTGTCACCGCAAAGAAGCCCAGACGACGGCCGAGAAGCACAGCCCCTCTCTCCATAGCGAGCTCACCGGAGAGAGTCTATGTGAGCAAAGTCTCATGAGCCAGCTACACAACTTTTATAGTAACCACGAGCTAGCGGGCAATGGCTGCGCTGGTAGAGCACGCAAAAGAAATGGAAATTTACATAATTAGCCCTCAATTATTATTTATTTACGTCTCTTGCCCCTAAACTTGCATATTTATATAGACGGCTCTCGGGTTTTTCAAACCTATGCATTAAAAGTAGTATTTGCCTTTTTAAATAATGATATTCTTATGTGATCTTTGTAATAACTAAAATTTAAATAAATAAATAAATAATAATAATAATAATAATAATAAAATAAATAAATAGCAGATGGTTAGAGAAGACACATCCCATCGTAAGAAATATTACATAATTTTCACGCGTCTCCTAATTTGTGCTATTGATTGAAAGGGAGGGCATATAGATCGAGAAAGGAGGTTATGCTCTAACAAAGTAAGTAAGAAGAAGACAAAGAAGAAGTCGAAGGATAAAGCATTTGAAGTCATGTAGAAATGTTAAAAATGATAAATACTTAAAGTGAAACAAAAATTAAAAGTTTTAATATTTTACTGAACTTAACTACATTTATTGTTGGTCATTCATGCACAGCTTAAAAAAAATTAATGCATATTAAATTATAATTGTTCGCTAATTAGTCATACTTATAATTGCAATTAATATTTTTTTCTTAAGAGAATATAAGCTCTATGTGATATGTTTAGTAGGGAGTACTTGATTTACAGGAAAATAACTACAACTAATAGGTACTAGTAATTGTATGTTTGTAGTTTATGTTTATAGTTTCTTTCGTTTGCCACTCAGTATTGGTTTGAGATATAATTTCATATGGGTGTTTAAATTTATTGTATTTTTTAGATTTTTGGCTCTTTTATATACTCGAAGTTGTTAAAATATTTGTATACAGTTAGTTTGATGTTAATACAGTCCAGTCGCGTGAACAATATTAAAAATTTTAGTTTGATGTGTGGAAATATGAATTTTAGGTGTGTGATATGTAAATACGCAAAAAAATGTGTGCACTGCATGTAAATACACAAAACATATACATGCTCATAATTATGTTTTTTTTTAACTAGCTAATGCCTTAATTATAACTTGTATATTTATCACTCTTTCTATGCATGAAAATATCTATTCCACTTTATAAAAATTACTAATAGATATGTTTCAATTATTATATGAAAATTTTTAAGGTTGTCATTATGACTTTTAGCTATTTAAATAAATTTTTAGCATCACATCAAAACAAACATTATCACGAATTTTTAAAAATAAAAAATATTTTTTTTTTGTGCATAAGTTTATAATACTAAAATATTATGAATGTAAATGTCAAATTTTAGATGTTAGATATATAAAAACCTAAAAATTGGGTGGTATGTGTATAAATTTTTTGAAAAAAAAAACGAACTTTTAAAGATAAATTTGATTGCAGGTCTCATTGTGTTCAATATTAAGTTTAATTTTTGCAAAATTTACTTACATACTACTCAACTCTTATGTATTTACATATTTAACACCCAAACTTAAATGTTTACATTTATATGTCACGATTACAATGCTTGAAAAAGGTGCATGTCATTTTTAAAGAGCTAAAATAGTGATATTTTTATGTGATGCAAAAGATTTGGGTGGTATGAATGTAAAAAGTAAACTTTAGGTGCTATATATGTATATAAATAGGAATTGGACATCCCACTATTAAGAGGGGTAGATAAATGTAATATATATATATGTATGTATGTATGTATGTATGTATGTATGTATGTATGTATGTATGTATGTATGTATGTATGTATGTATGTATGTATAATATTGTGGTTGTGCACGCCCATTATAACATAACATATAGAAGTGATGAGATTAGATGTTGGGGTGAGAAAATATTGGATCAAGGACATATGAAAGAAATCTAGTTAGTGAGTCGTCATGTGAGAGGGCTGGCTAGCAATGTGATATATCACATTATTAAGAGAGGGACATCAAGTATAAGAGAGAGAGAGAGAGAGAGAGAGAGAGAGAGTGTGTGATAAGCAACCAAAAATTAATGAGGACAAGTGGTTGAAATCAAGTGTACATGATAATGGTATGACCCGACTTAACTTTAGCACATGATAACAAGGGTGGCAATGTGAGAGATGAGATTTTAGGTCAAAATGGGCAAATGGTATGATGATTTAAGGCTCTTTTTTCTCCTCTTTTATGAAATTATTGTTTTTTTTTCTATTTTTTTTAACTCCTCATCTTTAATGTAAACAAGTTAGATTAGAACCATAATTTTCTTACAATGTTTCATGTGATGTTTCTTGATGATGATCATCATGATTCAATTTTCATATAATAAAAAATTTAAGTGAAGTTTTTTATAAAATTTAATTAGGGATTATGTGATTCATTGTGCAAATTTTTTGTTTCTTCGAGATAGAAATGAAACTAAGAAATTAAGTTTAGTATGCATGTCTTACAAGAGACATTATGATTGGCTTATACGTATTAAAAATATACGAAATAACATTGAGCTCAACGTGTCAATTTGCTTCGAGTCGTCGACAAGAGTTGTATTCTATATATATATAATTTTTTGAAATATATAATGCATTCAAAACTCCCATGTCTATTTGGGCTCCTATTATAGCTTATTTAATATGTTTGAAGTCATGTTATCACTTTTTGCATTACTTTAAACATTCTTCATAAAACAAAATAGCTTATATGCGACATTATAATGTTGTAGAGTAGTATGGATTATTATGATGACTCCACAATCCTTTGTTCAATTATTCAAATGTTATATTATTGCTTAAATAGACAAAATTTTGTTTTAGTATTAGATGAGGATGCAAATATATCAATGCATCAATGCATCTAAATTTCTACTAAGAAGAATGACAAACATATGAGCTATACCTTACATGTGGGGATGGGATATATTAATCAATAGCGAGAAGCGCCTTCTCGTCGCTGCGAAGCTCAATCCATTTATGCCAATATAACAGATTCTTGATAGGCTATTACTATTAAGGATACCAAAGTACAATCTATTATTGTCTTATAAGTCAAAATATTTTTCATATGATATATGTTAAAGATAAAATTCAAATAATATGATCCCGATTGTTAAGTCATATTATATGATAGCTTCCATAATTACTCTACTATCTATAACAAGAAAAGAATTACTATGTCAATTAAACCTTTTTTTTATATACATCCTTGTAATAGTTAATGATTATCATACATATCTAACATCTCAACTTCAATAAATAAATACACTAAATATAATGTAAATACATAATGGCATGTATTAATGTGTAAATCTTCCTGAATATAAGTCGTTCATTCATATATAAAAAAAATATTAAAATGCTATATATATATATATATATATATATATATAAAGACAGCGGTACCAAAAAAAGTGTTAATAAAGACGTCATGCCTTCCTCGTGCAAGTCGCTCATTTATTGGCATTATCTCACTACACGCTCAGCTCTCGCTCTCTCTCCTCTCCGCAGGCAACTATCAGTACCGGGCCGGCACCCAGACATGATGCATTCAATTTACGTGTCCTCTTTCTCACGTAAATATTCCAATTGGAAATCGTTGGCATTTAATTTGAATTAAACAAATACATTTAATGGTTTATATTAATTTTACTTGACCAATAATTTAGGTTCAGCAAAGCCACGTGCTTTAATCATAAAATAAATTGCGACTAAAATACATTAACGAAATTATATCTTTTTACGACGCAAAATATAATTCATAAAGCTTCACTTATTTTATGTAACTTCCTTCTTGTGATTTCATCAAAAAAAAAAAAAAAAAAAAACTACATATAATATAAAATATTATTAATCACTTAAATTTTGAATATAATATTTTAATCACCGAAGCACCGATGGGTAAAATAGAGTCCAAACCTATTTATTTACTAAATTGAATGAACTTTATCAAGTACTATTAATCTATCCAAGCTCATGTTTATGGAGAGCAATGGAAAAAATATTACCTCAGAAGTATTGATGCATCAGTACTCCAATGAAGAGGTGTCACGCATGTAATGGTCCCACCATATTGACACCTCCCAATTATAGTATTGATGCATCAGTACTCATGAGGTAATATTTTTAGAGCAATGATTCTTTTACAACCCAAATCAAAGTCAAAAGACTCACTTGTCAAAATAGTACAATAACAATAACAACAACAGCAATAGAAATAAGAACAGCGATAACAACAACAACAGCAGTAGCAACAGTAACAACAACAATTAATCACTTAACTCAGCTAAAGGAGGTGCCATTTTCGATGAACATACAATGACTTAACAAAAAATAAAAAATAAATAAATAATAAATAAATAAAAGAGCTTTAACATAAGGGGTACAACCAGTCAACAGAGCCAGTCGCTCATAATTATCTCAAACGAATGGTTTCAAGAGCAGGTCGGCCCCACTCACTGCTAGAGACTGGTCCACGTATAGTGCTTTGAAATTTGAGCATCTATCCGAGTTCATAATGGTCCTGCCGGCTGCCATGTATTTTTTGTTATTTATTTATGCGTAGGTCAAAATCTAGCTTATCCTATGGCACCCCAAATTTTTTAAATATAAGATCAACCGATCATTTTTCGAACGGATAGCTAATCAAGGCCCTCCATGATTAATCCTTATAGCTTCTCTCTCTAAAACTCTTTTTCCCTCTCATTTCTTTTTCATCTTCAAACCTCATAAATGTTAAAAGACTTTTGCAAGTTTTCATAGTATAGTTTTGGCATAACATATAGTAACTACTTCTCTTATATATATATATTAAAAATTTGTTGATGGTTGGAGACCGCCGATCGTCCCCTTCAGTCGAGCTCCCGTCAGGTCTGGGAGCCCGCCTGGTGACTTGAAAATTCGAGAACCCCGCGCCATGGGAGATCGAACTCTGACCCAAAGATCTTACGTTGAAGCCACCACCAATGAGCCAAAATATGTGCTCGTGCAC